GTTGGCCTTCCTTTCCTACCAATGTATGAAACTTGACTCATAGGTGGTATTGAAGCATCAACATGTACTCCATCTATGGTACCCATAGGTCCATACAATCCTAAAAATAATATAACGTATTATAGTTACTAAAGAAGTTAGAAGAAGAGTAAATAAACTTTACCTTAAAATGAGCTAGGCATGTATCTAGTATCTCCCCTTATTTCTTGTGGAGTGTCACTAAGCACCCGATCCATTGGTGTGATAATATCTATTGTCATCTTACATACAATATCCAACATATAGAGCACCAAAAAATATCTACTAATAGTATCATCAGAATGTTGATATCTCTCTTACGCTAATCTATCTTTTCACACCGTCCCAACATATGCAAACTGCTTGTCGGTCTTAGGTGGAGGATCAATGGTTCCATCAACCAAACCGAATTTGGTCTTCGCGCTTAAGCTAATTAGCAAGACTCCGGGTATTGTAGTTGTCTCCTTGAAGTGTTATGGAAACCAATTTTCCCAAGTTGATTGGAGGGATGTAAAGTAAAAGTGTTTGAGACATCAGTGAACATCTCTAATGATTTTGGGTTTGAGACGTCAGTGGACATCATAGTTGATTTTGGGTTTGCTACTGGTTCGCCCATGGTGGCGATGTTGTCTGCTGAGGTTGCAAAAGCGATGTGGGTATTCAGAGTCACCAGAAACGATGCTACAATACCATGTTGAAAAATAGAACAGCTAGGGTTTGATGAACACCAAGACTAGGAGATAGATGGAGAGAATCCTCAAATGTTTTAATTGATTATCTTCTTTACATGGAATACAAGGTTTACACAATACAAAGTAGGCTATTCTGGGAAGTCAAATCTAAAATATCAATACATGATTTACATGGATTCAATCTAATCCTACAATCAAGGGAAATAAAATATCCTAAATAATTGTCTTCTAATTAAAACCCTAAACTATTCAGACCTACTCAACCACTCTTGTGCATAGTAAAGGCAAATTTCAATGGAGCTCACACAGCCGTACTATATTTTTTTTGGGAAATTTTATTTGAACCTATGTAACCACTTTCTACACCCAACTTACTCTCTACATCCATACTATTTTTAGTTAAATACTTCATATCTCTTTAAACCCAAATTTACTACCTAAACTAACCTCACAAACCCATTTCAAAATGTAAATTTATCTTTACACCCATTTAGAAAATAAAATCTCAAATTGAATAATTTGGTGAAGTTTCTAGTTATTTATGGGAATTATGAAAGCTTTATGGAGTTCGACTTCGGTGGAGAAGTTGAATAATTTGGTGAAGTTTCTACTTATTTATGAATCTTCCATATACTAATAATAATTTCATTTTTAGTTTCTCCTTCAGATTGTATGGCTCGAATTTGACGAATTGTTGTGTTCGTTGAGAAGACTAGATACGCAGCAATGGCAAAATAGTTAAAAAAAAAACTTCAAATTAATTAAAAATATATCCATAAAGAATATTAGGGTTTTTCTGTCGAATTTGAAAGAATATTAGGTTAAAAGGGTGAAAATCCTTCAGCCTCTCATCTACTCAATGCCGTTGCTATGCCTCTGCATATATCTAGTAAAAAAGAGAAACATTGTATTAACAATAATTTCATTTTTAGTTTCTCATTCAGAAAGAATATTAAGGCTAAAATTTGTTTTTCTTTATGAGAGTTCTTAGGGTTTTAATTGGAATGAAGGTAAGATAAACATTGTATGATGGTAGGGTTTAATTTTTTGGAGTGGGTTTATTGATAAATATTAGTTTTATTGTTAATTACATTTGTACTTGATGATAATTATACAATAGGCAAAAAAAAAAAAAAAAAAAAAAACAATTAACATTTAAAGTTTAAGTTGGGTGTAGAACAAGGTTATATAGGTCCAAATAAGAGGGGTGTGCTATCCACACATCCCATTTTACTTCTCACACACCTCTTGATAATTTCTGTCCGTTGATCTTCTTTAATTCATCCGATCTGACAGTAGAAAATTAAAAATTGTGTGAGAAGTAAAATGGGGTGTGTGGATATCTCACCCATAAAATTTTCTTATTTTTTTTCTTAGGCTTTTTAGCCAAAATGATATCTGATATTTGCATAACTCTTCACTATGGTCCCTGAGATTTGAAATTGATAGAGTTTGTCCACAATCAATCATTTTGGTTCGTCATTGAAAAATCTTCATAGATAAAATGACAAAAATACCTTCAATTATTTTTCAAATTATTTTGGCCTATTTATTATTAACTTGAGGATAATTTTATCATTTTGATCTTTATTTAACATAATTTTTCACCGCATGACCAAAATGATTGATGGTGGATAATCTTAAAGACCACTTCTATTGATTTTAAATCGCAAAGAGCAAACTGAGGAGTCATGCAAATCTCAGAGACGATTTTGGCTAAAAAATAATTTTCTAATACAAAGATACCTTTATCTTAAAAAATGATGCAATAAATTGGTATTGAACTCAACATTCCTGATATTTAAATATAAGACATCTCACTTACAAGTGAAAAATAATATCAGTAGACCGTAGTATTAAGTGGTCACACTACCATTATATTAATTATTGTTGAATAAGTTTAGATACTAAAATTTATAATTATTAACTTTTTTTTTGAACTGAAACTGGAATTAACCAGGGCACGACCAGCAAGAACAAAGAAAGCCAACAAAGGCTAACAAAGAAACAGAGCAAGCAGCGACATCTAAGGGATTACAAACAGACTATTTTATAATTGTTAGAATATCTCTAATTATGCTCACTATTTTATAGCAAAACTTAACTAAAATATCAAAAAAATTATTTTAGGAGCCATCTGATAAAGTTCTACTCCAACATACTCCGTACTTTGAAAACTATGAGCCAATTAGTAGGCAATATGTATTAATATATTATTTACTTAAAATATTATTGAAATAATTAGCATTAACTACAGAGAACCACCCGGAGCTCCTAGAGAAATCTCTCTCTAAGGAGGTGGACAGAAATTGAAGTTGCATTTGAAATCCCCTCTAAGTGTTTATTGTAGCTCATTTAATAAGCTCATCAGAGATGCTGTTAGATTAGTAAATCACATTAGACTGTAATCAATGAGGCGATGATGATTCCACTTAATATTATTGTAGTAATATTCATCTTAATATATAAGTAAAAAATTTTATATTTAAATCTCGTAAACAGTAAATTTAATATCACTTTATTTATCCCACCTCTTAATGTAAATATATAATTTTATATAAAAAATTGACGATGTAAATCTCGACGAGGCTGGCAAGCAAAAATAGTAAAATACACCTAAATTTCAATTCTCGTTAAATTGACGATGGCTCGTAGCAATTACTCTGCTACGCTGCTGCCTACCATTCAGAAAAATCAATCCGTTTTCAGTTCTTTTACGATAATGTCCTTAAAGATTAGTGACAACCCAATGGACAAATGAATATTTCACAATTTCTCCCACGGTTCTATATTTTTGGGGGATGTCCTGTCCCAAACCAATTGGCTCACTTTTCCGACTCTTCGTTTCCTCTTCTCCCCGGTCCCAATCTCTGCTCATTTTCTCAGCAACCAAACACCCCCATTTCTTTCTCTGCCCTTTTTCTTGAAAGTCCACAGCCAATGACCCAGAAAAGGCTCTGCCTTTTTTTGGTAGAAATGAAGATAAAATGTGGGTCACAGACTCTCTAAAGAAACAGTCCTTTTTTCAGAATTTATTGAAAAATCTGTACCCCTCTCTTTCTCCACTCTGTTTTATGCAAGTTTCTGTTTGGTTTCCCAGAAAATCTCAGGGAAAGGGAAGGGAAAGAAGGTGCAAGTTTACACTCTGTGTAAGTACACATTTCCCAAGCCTAAATGCTAATTTTGTATTTATTGTTGGTTCCTTTATCCCAAGTAATAATTTTTAAACATAGGACCTGATATGACATTAATTTCCAAGCTCATTTTATTTTATTTTATAATTTTTTGTTTATTTTATAATTCTTGCGGGTACACTTTTATTTAAATTTTGGGGAGACTGTAAATTTGATGGGTTGTAGTGGTATTATTGTCTTTCGCAACCCAACCAATAAAATGCAGGCTCACCATAGCTTTTGGTAGTTTACTAGGATCCCTCAAGACCAAGAGGATCCTCTTCGGTTTTTTTTGGTAAGAATTATAGAGATTTATAAATTGTGTTTGTTCATTGTATATAGTACGATTAGTTTTTATCAAATACTGTTTGTATTTAATTTTAAATAAAAATATTCAAAATGATTTCTGATCGCACGATATACGATGAATAGATATGATTCACGGATCTTTAAAATTATCACAAAGAGAATCCGTGAGAATTCGAATTACCCTCAAGAGATTCAGCTGTTACATTCATAATTTAAATTTTTATTTTGTTGCTTTTCATTTTCTCTTTGTTTTGTTAAGGTAGCTAACAAGCAGGGGAGTTGGTATTTGGTGCTTAACTACTTGTATCATAATCAAATGCCAATTTGGTCACATAACTGAAATCTTTTCTCTTTTATCTCCATCTCTATGGTTAGATCTCCATTTTTCCAATCCGGATCCTCGCCGGATCTTCTTTGTGAGGATCTCGAAAATTCGTTAATTTTGTCCATTCATCATACATCATGAGGTCAGAAATTATTTTAAATATTTTTATTTAAAATTAAATACAAACAGTACTTGACAAAAACTGACTGCACAATATACGATAAACAGACACGATTCACATATCTCCATGATCATCATCAAAAGGATTTGGAGAGGATCTTGTTGGCCATTTTCCATCGTATCTGTGTTATTTTCTTATGACCTCGGTAAACAGTTTAACATATTATTTTATGTTGTGAGATTATTATTTTAGTGTGCATAACTGCATAAATTTATTTTATTTAACTTTGAGATTAATAGTTTGACAACATAACATGCAATCAATATTCTTTTGGCGGTCGGAAAATAAAAATCTCTCAAACATCAATCGTTTCGTCGAATACTTAGGTCAGTCAGACACGTTTCCTAGGCCTAAATTTTCATGTTGGTTTCAAAGTATATTTTAATTTGGGGACGGAAGCAAAGAGAGTTCATTCAAGTTAACCTTTTCGGACTACTTTCTGTTGTCTCACTTCATAAATATTAAACAAGTTTGCTTAACTTGGAATTAGTACATAGTCATGTATGTTAATCAACTTGACTCACTGTCATGAGGTTGGTAGTTTTTACAGGGTCAGAGTTTTCACGCCATTTTTTCTTGAATATTCAACAGGCCAACACAGCTATTCATATTATACATGTATATTATTTCACTAGAGTTAGTTAATCGTGCCCTTAATCCGAGTTAGTTCGTCTTAGGTTATAGTTTAGGATTTGTTTAGTGTTGTTTGTGATTGATTTTCGTCTTAGGTTATGTTTCGGATTTGTTTAGTATTGTTTGTGAATGATTGCATAAAGTCGTACGTTGAACACGGATATTCAAAGATTGCATGTTGTGTAAGGAACTTTTGCAATTATATAGCCCAGGATTCTTTTAATAACCGAGAGTATGAGCCTTGCACATGAGCATGACAGACCTTATCTGGAATATGCGAAGGAGACAACTTCTCTCTGAGACACTTTGAGGACCACATTCTTGGGGCGTCTTGTAGAACTTTTTGGTGGCATATTGATTGTATTGTAAGTGCTCATTTTTATTTTCGGGTGAAAAAAGGTGATGATTTGAACGTGATTCATGGTCACTGTTAATTACTGTGCCACTGAAATCATTGCAAATTTGTTTTGTTAGCGTAGTTCTTTGAATCGTAAAAATTGATTACTGTCACTGTTTACGGTTTTGAATTCTGAACTATCACAGTCGGGCTTTTCTGGCGTTTGTTTTGGGTGGCATTGAATCTGGAAGCTATAGTTTTAACTATTGGAAAGAGAACTATGCTGATATGTGTAAATCACATTTTGCAGGGATTTAACTCAGACTCTTAGTTCCTTGTCTTTTGCTGGTGCAAAATGGCTACAAATACCACAGTTGCAAATGCATGTCCAGCACCGATGCAAGCAACATCTAATGGGGTCTTTCAGGGTGATAATCCTCTGGATTTTGCTCTCCCTCTTGCCATCTTACAGATATGCCTTGTGGTTGCACTTACACGGATTCTTGCTTATCTTCTTCGACCACTAAGACAGCCTCGTGTGATTGCTGAGATTGTGGTAAGTATATGTACTTCTTGTTTGCTGTATATACTATGATGGCCTTCAAAACGATAGTCAATTATGCAAATGATGTAATCAAATTTATGTGTGCGGAAATCTTACCCCTTCTCTTTTTGCCTTTGATTGAATATTTACTTGAGAACTTTTTGTTGAATATGCAAATGATGTTATCACTGAGAGAGAGAGAGAGAGAGAGAGAGAGAGAGAACTATCATGCACCGCTACAGGTGACTAAGAGGAGCGATGCATTTCTGAACAATAAGTTGTGGGAGCTAACAGATATTGGTCCTTTCATTGGCAACTTCTCGTCTGAAAGACAGATGTTTTCAGTGGCCTTTGAAGTAAAACCATATGTGCCGTTCAAACAATAATTCCTCGCGTCCAAAAGGAAGAATGAAAATAACATAAATATTCGGTTCTATTTACGTTTTTGTAAGTAGACAAGTATCTGAACATCCTTGTGCATTGGAGAGAGTTTAACTTAGTATTGCTTTTTCTGCAGGGCGGAATATTACTTGGCCCTTCAGCTCTTGGTCGCAACAAAGACTATCTCGAAGCAATATTTCCAAACAGAAGTCTCACAGTGTTGGATACTTTAGCCAATCTTGGTCTTCTCTTCTTTCTGTTCCTAGTGGGCTTGGAGTTGGATCCTAAGTCCCTCCGCCGCACTGGAAAGAAGGCTCTATGCATTGCACTTGCAGGAATTACCCTACCTTTTGTTTTAGGAATTGGTACATCATTTGCCCTCAAGGGAACTATTTCTAAAGGTGTAGATGGACCACCATTTCTTGTTTTCATGGGAGTGGCTCTTTCTATAACTGCCTTCCCTGTTTTGGCTCGTATTTTGGCTGAGCTCAAGCTTTTAACTACTGATATTGGCCGAATGGCCATGTCAGCAGCAGCGGTCAATGATGTGGCTGCGTGGATTCTTCTTGCTCTTGCCATTTCCCTCTCCAGCACTGGCCGTTCTCCCCTGGTTTCGCTATGGGTTCTCTTGTGCGGGTGTGCTTTTGTCCTCAGTTGTGTATTTTTTATTCGACCAATCTTTAAATGGATGGCACAGCGCTGTCCCGAGGGTGAACCAGTAGACGAATTGTATGTATGTGCTACTTTAGTTGCAGTTTTGGCAGCTGGGTTTGTCACTGATACTATTGGAATTCATGCCCTATTTGGAGCATTTGTGCTCGGAATTATTGTCCCAAAGGAAGGGCCATTTGCAGGCGCTCTTGTTGAAAAAGTTGAGGATCTCGTATCTGGTCTGTTCCTCCCATTGTATTTTGTCTCGAGTGGATTGAAGACTGATATAGCTACAATTCGTGGAGCTCAGTCATGGGGCCTCCTCGTTTTGGTCATTTCAACAGCCTGTTTTGGGAAGATCATTGGCACAGTAGCTGTTTCCCTCCTCTGCCGAGTGCCGTTTCAAGAGGCTTTGGCACTCGGGTTCCTCATGAATACTAAAGGGTTGGTGGAGCTTATTGTCCTTAACATCGGTAAAGACAGAAAGGTAAAATTAAGCATTTTCCATTTTTTATGGGAGTCTCAAGGCTTTTTCTTTAATATTTGTATACGCGTGTAACTTAAGGTGCTAGCTTTCTGTTATTGCAGGTTTTGAATGATCAAACATTTGCTATCATGGTTCTCATGGCTATCTTTACAACCTTCGTTACGACGCCTGTAGTAATGGCAGTATACAAGCCAGCTAAAAGAAAGAGTATATCTGATTACAAGTACAGAACTATTGAAAGGAAAGATCCAAACACTGAGCTCCGGGTTTTGATCTGTTTCCACGGTACAAGGAACCTCCCCACAATGATTAATCTCATCGAGGCTTCTCGTGGGACTGAAAAGAAGGAACGTCTTTGTGTCTATGCAATGCATCTTATGGAGCTTAACGAGAGATCTTCTGCAATTCTGATGGTTCACAAGGCAAGAAGAAATGGTCTACCCTTTTGGAACAAGGTGAAGGATTCAGATAATAATCAAGTAGTTGTGGCTTTTGAAACGTTTGAGCAGCTGAGTCGAGTGGCTATCCGTCCAATGACAGCAATCTCTTCCGTTTCTAGCATGCATGAGGACATCTGTGCAATGGCTGAAAGGAAAGGGGCATCAATTATTATTCTCCCATTCCACAAGCACCAGAGGTTGGATGGAGTATTGGAGACAACTCGAACTGAATACAGAGGGGTCAATCGTAGGGTTCTTGAGCATGCTCCATGCTCAGTTGGGATCATGGTGGACCGTGGCCTTGGTGGAAGCACCCATGTATCTGCCAGCAATGTTTCTTCAAGCATAGTTGTCCTATTCTTCGGGGGTAGTGATGATCGTGAGGCCCTTGCTTATGGAATGCGAATGGCTGAGCACCCGGGTAACAGTTTAACTGTCGTCCACTTCTTAGCAAGTCCTGAACTTCAGGGGGAAATAGTCCAAGTGGATATAAACGAGGGCTCCAACACTACAGCAGGGTCAGCGACTGAGATGTTTCTCGCTGAATTGAAGCAGAAGATTTCAAATAACAGCTCAATCAAATATGAGGAGAGGGCAGTGAGAAATGCTGCAGAAACTACTGATTTGATTCGTGAGTTTAACCGATGCAATCTATTTCTGGTTGGTCGAAGGCCTCATGGTCAAGTAGCTGCTGCCTTGAATCTGAAGGGAGACTGTCCGGAGCTGGGGCCTGTAGGTATCTTGTTAACCTCTCCGGATTTCACAACTACAGCATCGGTCTTGGTTATGCAGCAGTATCATGGGCTGGAAGTAGTTCAAGGTTCAGTTGGTTTGTCGAAGGTAGTTGTGTTGCCCAAGGACGAAGATTCAGAAACCGGCTGATCAGCTCTCCCTAGCCTGTGTTGGTTTCACTGTACAGATGGTGATGAAAAGTATGGTTAGATAAATGTCTCTCTTTCCCTCCATTTAAACTGCTTGTTTATGAAAGGTCATAATTTTTAGTTGTCAATTGTCATAGCTTATACTTATGTATGGATGGATCTATCACCTGTATAGATCATACCTAATGCCTAAACACATAATACTCTTTGCAATGCAAGTATTCTTTCTACAATTCCAGATCTAAGGGTGAAAGAAAATAAGAACACTACTCGTCTCCCTTATTGTAAGGAATAATTCATTCTTACATGCAAGTCACAATTTCACATATAAGCAAAACTAACTGATGGAAAGTACAAAAGAAACATTTATGTATGTGTCAAACTATGAATTATCTGCAAACTAGATCAAAAGACTCATAGAAAATGAGCAAAGTAATTTCCAAAAATTGGAAGAGAGAAAGTTGTGGATCTGCATTGCACATAGAAATAGATTTGAACTGCCAAGTGTTAAATGCTATTATATGATTCACAAAGAGATTGTTCATTTGCATTAATCATTTGCATTAATCTTCTAAACTATGAATGAAGAAGGGATATTATTGCAACATTCTTTCATGAAAATTAGGTTTAATTTTATTTTATTTTATTTTAATTTTTAATATTTTTTAATTTAGGGCTTAAAATAAGATTCTTCTTATATTTTAACCTAATATATCTAGGGGGTGTATTATGTATGAGAGAAATGCTAAAGAGATTCTCAAAAGTGGGACTTTCTATGAACTCTCTGTCACCTCATGTTTTTGACACAATATTTTTTAATGTTGGCAGGAGAATTGAGACGTTAAAGTGTGAGGTGATAGAGAGTCTATAGAGAGTCTCACTCTAAGAGAGTGTTCTTAGCATTTCTATATATATGAAGTTTAATCATAGACTTCGCTTGACTCTGAAATCTAGATGTATTCAATATAAACTTTTAATGAGTAAGTAAAAATCACCCAATTTTGAATGAGAACCAAATTTTTGGTACCCAAAATAGGTGTGGCCTCTCAGTGGCCACAATAAGTCACTAACACGTATGTATTATCTTAACTTTTCTTAATTTTATTTTCATAAATTTAATATGTGCTTAACACTTATTGGGTCCATAGAGAGGCCACACCGATTTTGGGTGCAAAAAAGTTGATCTGGTTTTGAACAAAAACTTTTTATGACTTCTAAAAAGTTTTATAAAATTCTTGTGGTATTCAGTTATGCTTTTAGTGAGTCTACAAAAAATCGAGGTGTATTCTAAATTTCATTGATTTTAAAGGATTTTAAAAAGTCATAGATTTTGATGAACTTTTAGTGCTTTTATGATAAGTTTTTTGTCACATCAAATCCAACATTTCCCCCTAAAATTTTGATGGATTTCATTGTTTCTTAATTCTCTAATGGTAACTCCACCACCGACTATAATGCAATTACTATAATTATTACCACTTCCACCACCATGTCGCCACCACCACCTTAACATGACCACTCCTCCATCCCCACAACCACTATTGTTACCATGGTCACCACCACACTCACTTCCACGAGCACCATCACCAAATCCATTATGACCACCAACGACATCATCATTACCACCGCCCTCATCCCTACTTCTCCATCACCCAATAACACAGCACCACAATCACCACCCTATTATTATTATTATTATTATCATTATCATCATCACCATTCAAGACACCAGATTTACTATCACCATCTTGCTAACAATCACCAAGTAACACTTCCACCACCATTGTTCCACCACCTCATAAGGCCACTTGGTCATGGTCATCATCACCATTTCAATAGTAAAAACTTAAAAATAATAATGCTTATTAATAAATTAGTCATTAAAAAAGTTTATGAGAATCCATAAAATTTTAAAAATTTATATTATTGAACTCTCTAAAATTCTACAAATTTCTATCATTTAAGTATATTTTTTTCCACAAAAGTAATCATTAAAAGCCTATGCAATTTTATGGAGTTTATAATAATTAGTAAAAGCCTACTTAAATTTGTGAAAGTCTATCACTTAAAAAACTCAACAAAAGTCTGTACACTACACCACCCTAATTAAAGTCCATCGGTGTATCCGAAAGATGAGTGATAAACCACATGACGTAATACAAGTTGATTTACGGGCTTTTGTTTTTTCAAATATATAAAAGATTTTATATGCTCTTAGTCAACTCTTTGGGTTTGGAATAAGTTCAGAATACTAAGGCCCAATTTGGTATCTTGTTAAAAAAAATTCATCATTTCTCAAAATATTTCTTAAGAACGTTTCTCAAAAACATCTCTTGAAAACAATTTTCTTTAAGATTCAAAAACTTGTTTGGTATGAGATTTAAAATTGTTTTTAAATCTTAAAACTTAAACTGGACAAAGAGATCCAAAGAAAGGGAGTCTCTAGAGAGGAAGAAAGAGGAAAGGGGAGGAAAGGAAAAAAGAGATGATCGGAAGAGATCACTGTTCTAAAAATCCCGGCCTAGTGCCACCTAGGCCTTGCCTAGGCGATAGGCGGTTAGCCACCGTCCCGATTAATGCCTAGTCGTTTGAAAATTAAGAAAGGGCACCTAGACTTACTGAGGTGGCTGCCTAAACCACCTAGCCCGCCCATACCTGCATATGTTGTGACTCACTTAGATATAAAATAGATAACTTTCATTTTGCATTTTAGTTTTTCAATAAATTGTAAGAGACTTGTTGAATACTTAAAGGAACACACATTATATACTTGTTCTCCGTGTTTTCATTATGTTCCAATAGCTCATAATATATATGTCATTCCATTTTGTAATTTATGATGAAATCATATATATTTTAAGTATAAACAGACACTTATTTACACAAAATATAATAGATTTACTAAATCTGCCTAGGCGCCTGTCTAGACCGCACCTAGGCGCTAGGCCCCAACCTGCTGCCCGACTAGCGCCTAACGTCTTTTAGAACCTTGGAAGAGATAGAAAGAAAATAGAGGATTGAAGGAGATGGAGAGAAGGAGGAGAGAGAGAATAAAGAGAGCAAAACTGGAGAGAGAGAGAGAGAGGGGTTCAAGTGAGGGAGGAGAGATAAAAAAAAAAAAAAGGAGTGAGTTTAAATTTAAAAACTTTAAAAACTCACTTTTGATGTTTTTAGAGAATATATTATTTTTTTAAGTTAGTCTTAAGTTCAATTTTTTAAAATAGTCTTATCAAATAAGTTTTAAAGACCTAAAACTTGTAATGTTTTTACATTTAAAAATTTAGATTCAAATAAGATAGGAAACATGCCCTAAATGATTGGCATATATTTTACTTTACCCACAAGCAATCTCAACGTGACAATTTATATTATTTCTGCTACATTCCTTTCAATTGTCTCTGTTTTTGGTGCAATCAGCTTTGTTTATTCTCTCTCTTTATAGAAAAGAAAAGCTTTTGTTTGTTTTTTCTTAGGAATTTCTTAGTCCAAATGATATCTAGTCAAATGGCCGACCACTTTGAATGAGAACCCTTCATTAAGGAATCAACTAGGATCATGAGAACATGCATGCATTCGCATAATCAAAAGTAGTTTGCATGCCACGGTTATTTAATCTTAATAGTCATTTCTATAGCCACAATCATATTACAATATTGAATAGATGGGATTTTGGTCTTCAATTAAAAATCAAATCACCTGTGGATCATCACGAAAAATATCAACTAAATTGCAATTCGAGGCGGGCTAATGAATGTTATGAATTAGTAACATCGGCTGACAATACTGTGATGATCATACTAAAAAAACTCTAAAAAAAAATTGCATTATCCTCGGTCATTTGCTCCGAAATTGTGACCTCGACTCAAATTACAAATGCAGTGGTCATTCTATTAAATATACCAGATTGGAATTTTTTAAGAAGGTTCTTGGAGATTTGGCTAAATTTTCAAATTCTTCTTATGTTAGTAGGAATTTTTTCAATGCCTATAATAAGACATTTGTATGACAAAATATTTCATTGTCAAATAATTTGAAAATTCAAATTTAGGAAAAAAAAATTGAATTTCTTTGTTCATGTTCTCAATAATCGTATTGATATAATAATTTAGTAAATACATGCCCCGACGCCATGTTTATATAATATACATGCATACACGTTACGAGGTGGACACACATATTATTCTACATAACATATACCACAAATAATACCATCAATCCTTCCTGCATTTTCTCCTTTCCATACCTGCCCTTGATTTAATTAATTATTTGGTTTTGTAATAATTTTCTATAGGTTAATCAGTGACAGATACTTAATGACAATATATTGTCTGTTTACACATGGACTCGAAAACATTTGGAAGAAAGCATAAAAACAAGCATTCGATCGCATAGGTAAAATCGATAAAAAGGGACTAAACTAAGGAAATGACAAAAGTGTTTGATAGTTTCTTTTCTTTGACAATCGACATGTTAGTGGGGTAGTAAGGTTGACTAGGAATGTAAAATGTAAACAGGGCTCACCTCAACTGCTAGCAAAGCGCTAGCAGGCGTTATCCGAGAACAATTAGTTGATTTGGATTTGTAAATTATTATAGATTATTCGTTGTTAAAATAGAAAGAATTAGGGGAAGGGTCCACGAGTAATGAATGAGAAGATCAGAAAGTTAGAAGAAGAAGGAATTTTTTGGTTATATTGGTATTAAAAAATGACTCTTTTTTAATCGAAATAAATTTAATTAAAATTTGATTTATCTTATTTATTCTTTTTTGTTTGCTTCATTACTGGTAATGTTTTTATTAATAATTTCTTTTTTTCATTCAAGAAAAAGTTGTATCGATACGAGGAATGTTAATCATAGATAGAAATATATCTATTTATATCTTTCCTTATCAATATCAATGTGATATTATCTCAAATTAAATGGGAAAGAGCAAAAGTTAAAAAGAATAAATAAAGTATATGTTTTGTTTTTTCGTTCCTATTCTTCTTTCTATTTCTAAGACATAATCTTCTTCTACCTAAAGAAATGACTCATCGAAATAATAAGGCACTATTGATATTGACACATTTGATATCGCCAAATTTTTGGGAGTTCCTTTATGACCTGGACGTTCTCAAGATGCCCCTGATAACCAGCAAATGGCAAGTGCTTTTCCTTGTGTACATATTCTATTTCAATGGGAACT